TGTGAGAACAGACCTCATTGGTTGTCACAAGTTTCTTTTTATCTTTTTTTGTGGCATGTGATCAGTTGTGTAGCCATTACACTGGCTACGTTTACATGCAACCAAATAATCAGTTTGTAATCGGATTGACGGCTCAATCGGACTGAAAAGCCTTAATTCTTTATAAAAGTTAAGAATTGTCCACACCCTCCTAAAACGCCTCGTTTAAACACGCCCCCACATGTCTACGTCACTGTGTGGGAAGATTTGCATAACACCGCCCAAATGTTCACGCAAAGAAAGAAGGCGTAACTTTTATTCTTGCCGCAAACCCGCCGGGCGCTCCTTCGCCGAATCCGCCCGCCGCACCGTTCTCAAGCCCGCCATGTGTGACGCTGTGTGTTTCGTTTTTGTGTGTACCCTCCCCGATACGCAACGCAACGCGTAAAAAGACAGTATAAGTCATTATTGTCAGTAATTATGTCCCCACTGGATGCAACAAATGCCTCGTTTGTAATGGGTTTTATTGGTGTTATCTCATCGCGCCGGGACACGGTATCACAATATGGTAGGGGCGTAACATTTCCATCACACACTGGAGGAATTCAGCCAATCACAACGCACTGGATAGCTGGCCAATCAGAGCACACCTCGCTTTTCACGATCGGATTGAACCCCGAAACTGAAAGCACTGCGCATGTGCAAAGACGCAGAAATAGCGTAATGACGTATGACTCGCGGAACGAACGGCTCTTCCTTTTGAATAAAGTGTTGTATAAGTTCGTGTCCTGTCATTAGAAAACTCTCCTTTCATTCGGCAACTGTGAAGTGGAGCAGGAGTCCTTGTTTTGGATACTCATCCACAGGCAACCCGTTTTGGGTGCGGGGAGGGGCATTTTTAGTGCGTGATAAATATGAGCAGCACAGCAGTTTATATGTATATTTATCCATAAATGGATAAATATTAATTCTGCTGTTAAAATCAAATAAAGAAGCCACGTAGGAGAGTGGTTATTATGTGCAAACAGTGAGAAACTCTATATTTGTGCAGTGTGCGCATGTAAAAGAAAAAAAAAATCTATTCCGATTTGAAGCTTGTGACATATAAACGCGCACATCAACCCGATCACTTTATTTAGCGTTCATGTAAAACACTACATTCAGAGTCATCAATCGGAATGAATTCAGTCCGATTGAACCAAAAATTGTGCATGTAAACGATGCAATGATCTCCTTATTGCAACACAATTTATGTAATCTCACAAATACTTTTTGTGAGACTAACTAACAGTAAAAATATGATGTAAATATGAGACTCATTGGTATAAAGGGTATAAAAATAATTCATATTTTAAACTGGGGAGTTAGTTTTGAGTTTTGAAACTTGCAGTATATTTTTATTGTAGAGTAACCTGGTATATGTGTAAATATCAAGAACAAAATGACCGAAAAATGTTCTTCCTTGTAGGCATTGACTTCCTTTTTCTTCATAAAATTAAATCACTGCAACACCGTTTAATCCTTTGTACTCTGTGTCCCTTAGGAAGTCCATGATTCCTCTGGAGTTTTAAATAATGTGGTAGAGGAATTGGTGCATTTTCGGAGTAAGGTTCGTAAATTTGCTCTTTCTGTGGAAGATCAAGCTCCTCAAGATCCCCATACTGGCTCTGAAATTCAGAAAAGGCATCCACAGCCAGACAGAGTGCCCTTGCTGAAGGACTGTGATGCCTTAAGGAATAATCTAGCACCCCTTGGAGTCCATATTAAGGTAAGATTTCATCCTATTAGACTAAGTGCAGAAGAGCGTCTAAAGGAAAATTCATGGTTATTATTTAAGCATGGTAAACTGTAGAAATACCTTTTGATTTTCAAAAACCCAAAGGCATAATTACAAAGTAATTAGACTTCCTGAGATTTCTTAAAGGGGTCATCGGATGCCCATTTTCCACAAGTTGATATGATTCTTTAGGGTCTTAATGAAAAGTCTATAACATACTTTGGTTAAAAATTCTCAATGGTAGTGTAAAAAACCCTTTTTACCCTGTCAAAATCAGCTCTGTTTTCAGTACACAGTTCTAGTCCGTATTGCTTTAAATGCTAATGAGCTCTGCTGACCCCGCCCCTCTCTTCCATGGGGTGATGAGCAGACTGTAAACTTCAGCCGCAAAACTCACTAACTAGCACATATTAGGAAAGGCGATTTGCAAAGATTCATAAAAAAACCCTTATACTCACTTCTTCTGTAGATGAAGCTGGATCATGAATGATTCACGCGAACTTAAACG